TGAACATTAAAACTAAAAAAACAAAAATCTGACCTACTGAAGTGCTCACACTTCAAAACAAAGCAGGGTTTGGAATTATTTCACACACCCTTATTAAAGAGGATGCTACATGTGTTCTGGTATTTGAAAGATGAACAACTAATGGATTTTGATGGTTCTGGTGCAACAAAGCAGGTTGGTCAGACCCCTCAGCTCCCCCAATGGAATGTGCATTTTCACCAATTTCCATTTTTTTATGCCCCGCCTGTAAAATCCACAACATCTGTGAAAGAATAGGAAATTATTCTGGATGGCTCCTTTGTAGATTGCCTAATAGGCAAACAGTTCTAAACATTTCTACCTTGTCAAAAGTAAACAGTGTCTTGAAGAAGTGCAACATCCCGGCAAACAATGCCATCTTGGAAAGCTCATTTTTGCCTCTAAAGCTAAATGGAATTTGGCATTTTATTTAATTTCTTCTCTCAGTAAGTGACAAACTGTTTAAGCCATTACTGTCACACTGTAAGACAGCAACGCCAGGGACCGCCATCATCAGACCACAAACACGGCCATTACTCCACCGCACACAGTTACCAAACAAACGTCATCCAATAACCGACCTGGTCGCTGTGATGCACAAGGCCCTGCACGCTGGACGCTCACCGACTTCACAGATGCAATTATCCCCAACCCTCCCCGCGTGAATTTGTCAGTTGAGTTACGTCAAACCTGACGGGAATGACGTCAGAATACCAATGTTTCTCGGCACGGACGACCCCTGAACTTTCCTCAGCTGAGGTAGCTCCGTGCAAATGTAGCGCCATAGCATTTCTTGTTTTTCTTTTCATAATACTGTCTGCAGGTCCCAATAAAAAAACGTTCCATATTTAAAAGGCCAACACATCAATTTCGGAGAGGTGGAGCTGTTATTTTTAGGTTAGATAAGGAAATGGAAGTGACAAGAAAGACAAAAACAGTGATTTTTTTTGTTCGCACCTAAATATCAAAGGTACCTTCGTGACAGTCCCCAACATGTTTTTTTTAGTAATATAGTGCAGTGGCATTTCAGGTATGTAACGCAAACCGATCTTGCAGCAGGACAGCATAAATGAGTCGTGAACATTTGTACAACATGTACAAGTATACTTGTCACGCAGTGACCAATTGTGTGAGTACTGATGCTTGTAATGCGATCTGCATACGTTGCCAATTGACTCCTAACAAGAAACACCGTACATTAATGCCGCAACTTGTAGCGGAAGAATCAGTTTGTAGGGTTTTTTGTCTAAAAGCGGTGATGATACAGCCTACAAAATTGTTGAAAAAAGCTGGTTGATGATTTCCACTAAACGTAATTCCTGACTGTCAAAAAATAATTATACTATGCACCGGTACAATACTGAAAGACAGCTGCGACAGGTCCAAATCTAACTCTCACAATTTGCTGATGTTTTGAGGAAAAACACCATGACTGTCATCCTGGTGACAACAAACGTTCCTCCTCCTTCAGTACGGAAGAAAAATTCCTGCAACCTTTGGTCTTTCACAAAATTCCAACACTCCAAGCCACTTCCACAATTAAGAAGAAAAAAAAAACAAGATGGCAATGGCAGAGGGGGGCTGTTCAGAATCGCACTGCTTATATTATGCCTTTAACCCAAACAGATGAATTTTTCATGGGGAGAAAAAATCACCGTGCGAATGAAATCAGCCAAGCGCAGCAGAGGAGGATTTGCGCAAACAGCAGATGAATACGAGTCTTCTTGAAGACATGTACGCCCATTCCCCCCATACATATGTACATGTATGTACCTAGTTGACGACATATTGCCTGGCACATGTTCATAACAATTTCTTTTGAAGGGAAAAAGCGTTATTCTGTCAGTAAGGCTGATTATGAGAGACTGACTCATTGTTCAACAACACACATGGGATGTTTTTTGGGGGTGTAAGTACTGTACATTGGGGGGTTAGTGCCAGGTTGGCTGGGGTTCAAAGCCACTTGTAACATGGACAAGATCATCTTTTCTGCAGCATAAAATGCCAACCAAGTATCTTTTCATCTTTTCCAAGTCATTTCTTGGGAAGAAATCTCTGGTTTCGTGACCAGACATCATATCAAACAACCAGAGCAACAGTTCTGCTTCTCATGAATCTTGGCCAGCGTGCGTTCATCAGCAACCACATCCTCACTAATCTTCCCATCAAAATTTTCAAAATTACGATTTGTCGTGCCAGAGTAATAACATCCCTGTAAAGGCACAAGTATTTGTGTGTGCATTTTATGGGGGGTGTGGAGAGTAACCTTAAGACAACAATTATGGATACCTTATTATTTTTTTTACATGCCATTAATTATTTTTTCGTAATCAATTAATTATTTTTTCCGGCAACAAATACAGTACTTACACATGTAAATTTTTGCATTCCTTCTCTTGAAAACAAGGCACGGCATTATCCAAGTAAACAGCACTGACCACAAGAGTTGAGACGTTTTAGAGTTATGTCCCAAGGGGTCAGCGCTTTGAGTTTCTGCTGACAAGAAAACATTGCCGCCATGCCCCTCTCACCAAAGTAAAATCAAAATTGCTGTGCAGTTGTTTTCAGAGATTTCTGCGGTCAATGGTACATGTACATCCTAATCACTGATCCTCGTCGGTGATCAACAGGGAAGAGGCTTTATAGGAAATGTCAACGGAGCTGGCATGCCCTTTAAGAAAAAAAAAATGCCAGAAGACACGGACGGACGACGTGGGTGCATTTCACACTTCAAGGGAAAATGTAATTTGCGTATATATATGTACGTCCCGTCTGCGGAAGTATTTGTCGGTGAGGCTGTTTGCCAGCTCTGCACTTTTTTAGGCCTGTTACTGCCTTGTTTTAGTATTTCTCCCTCAGTAGTTAAACGCCTTAGAGGAACAAGGCAAGTGGCTGTTTCTCTTTAGTCTTAACATCCCAACTGTTCCATACATGTATATCCTAGAGAAAAGAGCAACGCCACAGTTCGTCTTCTGGGAAATGTTGCCAAAAATAACTGGCAAATTTATGACCAATTGCTTCATCTCTCTGTAAAGTTCCAGTTGGACAGCACATGCGCCATCAATTTCATCGGAGAAAATGGTTACATCTATGTAGCGAGTCTCCATTCTATTCATTCAGGCACGTTTACCTACGATTCCGTTCATGTACAACTATTAGGTTTCTTTTGATTGCTGTGCCGACAAAGCATGATAAACAGGTTCTGTTTGCAAAAACTTTGACGTTACAAGAAAATCTTCTTTTGATACACTGTATGCAGCAATCCTCACCTCAAAGTCCCCGGTGCGGTACCAGCTTGCCCACGGGCTCTACATCAGTGTGTTTTTCCAACCGATACTAACACGCTGAACCCAACCTTGTGCGCGGGTGATTCTGTGCCCTGATGGTATCAACATCTTCTTTTTTTTTAAACAATCGCAGCAACGACTCATCCAACAGCAATCCTCTCCTGGACCACTGAGATATGCCGGCACATGTACTTTTTCTATGTACACTTTCAATCTTGTCTGTGCTCTAAACTTTGAAGGCATTCTTGCCAAACTTGTTGACGGTATTATTTTACGCTTTCACACCAGCATCAACAATGTCTCCAACGCAGCATTCTAAAGACATTTATGACCTGTGACTGGAATTTGTGGGTTCATTGCAAAGGTCATACACAGGGACACACATGTGCATGTATAATACACGTACGTCCTTGGAGTTTTACAACTTGAAAGCTCAGCAAAGGTCCCACTGATCTCTAATAGAAATGACAAAACTGGTTGGTTAAAACCCCATCCACTATCCACTTCCGGGTACCACTGTTCCTGGTAACGACACAGTGAACCCATTATTTAAAAGTGGGTGAAACTGAGTCGTCGCTTGGATATAGTAAAAGATCAAGACTGCCGGGTATGGAACGATATGGGACCATGTAGAGGTGTGGTTATGTTGTGGCAGAGTTCAATGCTGCAACTGAGTCATGGTGGATGTTCTTCTATATACATGTACTCATTACTAGCCACTGGTAAATAGTGAATTCAATAGGAGAGTCTATCCAAGCAAGTCAAGCGCACATTATAGTCTATGCGCAATACATCCATGTACAGATGGCTATACACTGTTGGAGGTGGCCTGCTGTTGATAGGCACCATGTAAATATGTCAACTGCAAAACAGCGATTCAACTTTTTTTTCTTCTTTGAGGAAGACGAGGATACGTGTATGTGAACCGGTGATAAACCGCAGTCTCCCCAAAGTTTCACTCTCTGAGTTTCCAGGAAATTAGTGACAACAAATAGCCCTGTCTTATTCTGAGTTCCCATTGCCAAAGCACAGGAGCAGGAACTTTTCCTGAAGTTACATGTATGTCAAAACTCCACGAGGATTTCTTGCTCTGCAGACACTGATTGTGCGCTGGAGGTGTATGCGAATTAGGTTTAATGGTGCTGTCTTGCATCTTTCATCTGTTCGTGGCATCAGCTGAGCAGCGAAAAACGTAGGAGGCTTGTAGCCATCTACATATAGTAACAGGGGACCATGTTCATAGTGGACAAAGATAGCCATCTCATTAAACCATCACTCTTTTTGGTCAACAGTTAGGAGAATCTTCTGGGCATGCAAGACAATTGGGGGGGGTGTCATCCCACATACCCCCCCTCGGACGTGTACTATACACTGCACCCCGGGCGTGGCTCGACCCAAAATGATGTGTCCCTCTTTGTTTTCCTCAACCCTTGCTGGCTTGCTCTCAATTTCAAGAGTTTGTTCCCGTTCACTTTTAACCTTCTTTCTCGAGTCAAGGTACCGTAATACCAAACATTCACCTCCGTGGAACTGGGCCAATGAAAATAATCGAGCGTTTTCAGGACACGCTGTGCTAAACAATGCCTCAAAATGTCTCACGAAAGATTAACTGCTTTGTGAGGGGGGGGGATTCTCAAGAGGGTGACACTAACAACTGAACGAGGAATCCTCTGCCTTTATTAAACAGAAACCTACCTGGGAAAACAGACGCTACACAGGCAGCTAGCAGACTTGAATTGGTAAAAGAATCAACTTCTACAGGTGCAGGTGCATGTACATGCAGACATGCGCTGTGATTGAAAACCCTGTGCGGAGGAAGAAAAAATGAAAACAATGAGAAAGAAAGAAAAGGCCTGCCCACGAAACAAGGAATTGGTAAAGATGACCAATGCTACGTAAGTTCAGAATACAGAAGTAGGGGTAACGAGGACACGGTGCCTGCGACAGGAAGCGTATGAGTGCATTGACCATACATATAGCCCGGCTTTGTAATTTGTGGAAACATCACTTCAAGCTGGTATTACCTACCAGAGTTGGAATCAAAATCTAACGTGGATTTTCTTCTATCGGCATATAATCGTTAATGAAAGTCAGGGGGGCAGGTTACGATGCTGATGAGGGTTATGGGTTGAAGGGGCTGTCAGAGGTCAAACATGGAAAGATTGATGACTAACCCCAAGGGTTATTGGTGTTTGGTGAAGAGTCCCTCTCTCATTCAAAAAATTTACACTTGTGTAGAAGTGTACCTTTGTGTATTACTTACATGTACATGTGTACAGTTATATGCACATGTACATCATTATGCCAGACCTGGTAAGGGAAAATGCCCTTAAACAAAATTGTTACACATGTAATGTAAGAATTAATCTTAAAACATGTCTTTTATGAATTAACATTTTAGAAAGCCAAAAAATGACAACATGTATATTGTCAATGCCTGCAGTACAAGACATTATAATGCAGGGATCATTGACCTGGCTGTCAACCCTGCAGAATCTAAGCACAACCTTGACTTCATTAGGCAATTTAGTCTCAGTGTAACCCAAGTACATATTTATCATTTCAGACATAATGCACAGGGGGTGTGCACCCTAGCACGGGTATGCGCTATACCGCACTGGAGACACTGACAGACATGACTGAGTTAAGTGTACAGTGTACATGTACTGTACATTATATTGTCACTAAACCATGCAGGCTCATTATTGAGGAGAGATACAATAAATGCTCAGCAGCAGAAGAAGTACATGAACCACTTTGCATACATAATTTATCTTGTTTGATCATGTTTTGGTACATCCGTATTCTGTGCTGTTCACTTTGAGCTCGGAATTTCCACAAATTTCAAAAGCAGAGGCATCAAGTAAATCGTTCCCTGTCCCGGATGGCTCTTCACCAGAAATAATTTGGAACAATTGATTTTAATGCATCTTCCTAACTATGCGGCAAACAAACACTCTAAGAAACGTTTTATCAGAATGGCAGAATCCATGTATACCTTGTCCATTTACTCGCTATTGTAAGGGTAACAGGCTTAATTTGAATGGTTTCAAATCAAGTAGGGCCTTCAATTGTCAAAACAAACATCCACACGTCGTGCAATACTGACTATCCAATGCTGATACCGTATTGACGATGAAGACAGTAGAGAAAAATCACGAGTGACAAGATTCTGTATCAGAATTCTGCATCCCATCCAACCAGGCAGAGAGCTGGCTATTTATCCACGCTGTCCCTGTCAGTAACACTATCCCCACGGCAGGTACAGAGGATCCTGACGGCCAGTTCCGTCTGTCCGAGTACTTACTTCGGAGAAGGAAGTCACACCAAATCTGTGTGTACAGAGGCTTGTGGAAGGGGGGGTTTCAAGCCACTGTTTCCGGTCCGCAATGCCACCGTAATTCATGCACGAGCTTCAGCCACTTCAACATTCATCCCTGTCGTCGCGGTTACTGAGATGCGGCCAGAGAGGGGGAGAGAGATGTACCAGTAGACAGCATCACTGAATGAAATGCACTGTAGGCACACTGAGAAACTCCCCCAGATGTATGCAGAACATGTACATAAACAATAGGGTGGCTCGTCGCTACCCTCTCTCGTAGACAAGATTTCACTATATGCACTGTACGTACACACATGTACAATGTGCATGTATGCCCACGGTACTCATAAGGTTCCCATGCACACTACATGTACATGTACCCGTACTTGGCATGCCACTTTACATTATCGTGCATATGACTCCCCGACAGCAACAGCAAGCACATAATGCACACGGGGTTGGTATGCACAGGGCTCCGCAATCGTCTTATAATGAGGCCGGCCCACTGTTACTGGGAGAAAATCATCATCACTCGCTGTATACTCCCCGTGTCTCACTGGCATGCTGGCCGTGTTTGACGTTGCTGATGATGTCACCCCGGCTCACTGCTGACCTCAGGGCTAACCCTGGCAAGCTAGCAACCAAACACGCCACCTGAGAACCCAACCGGCTGATGTCATTAGCGGCCAGCCAAACACACTGGAGGCCAGGACGTCGCTGGCTATTGATTTGCTCCAAACCATTGCAGGCTATTGAGAGAAAACCGTGTTTGCATCAGGCTACGATTAGAGGGGAAAAAAAAGACCAAAAAAAAAAAAAATCACACGGGGCCGTACTGACATTTATACCCGGCTGAAGATAGAAATCTGGCCACTGGAGGTCCATGGGGGGGGAGAGGGGAATGAAATCAGACATTTTTTGGAGCAGTTTCCATAATTAGCAGCTTTGTTTTTCAAGGCAGATACTCAAGGAGTTATTTTCAAATTCCGGCTGGCATTTTAGGAGACTCAAGGCGAGTGGTGGGTCTGTTTTCCTCATGTTTTTAATTGTGCTCAGGGATGCTTGATGTGACATCAACGGGTTTAATTGGCAAATGAGACACTCCACATCTGCACATGGCAGACGGATAAAACCAGCATGTTATAAAAGCTTCCTGTATAGCCCATGTCTGAGCATTAATTTCAATTATTGGCATTTTTCAATTTTCAGTCAGTCTAACACCATTGCAAAAGTACCGGTATGTGTCACTTCAGAATTTTTTTACTGCCAACTATTTCATGAACTCCACAATTACATGAAAAAAATGTTCTCTTTGCTTGCCAGCCAAAGAAAATTCATATAACTAGTTCATTTGGTGGGAAAATATTTTCTGGATTTCAATTTTACCGAACATTCTGACATTAAAAAAACCCTGTCTAACATTCAGTTATGTTTGACAACAAATTGTAATTATCCAGCTTGCATTACTATGTTGTCTTGAACGGAAACATTTTTTTTGCTTTACCAAAGACAAGTGCAAAACTGTTTCCAAGAGTTTAAATTGAATTGCGCATTTTCCAAATGACAACCAGACAAGCTTTCTCAAGGAAGCGTCAGGGCATAAACACAGGGGCAACAACATGTGAACTTTTTATTTGTAGAAACTGTCACATCAAAAGAGGTCCAAAATAATGTTTTAAACATTACAGAAGTCCAGACAAGTGGTATTTCCACGGCAATACTTGATAACTTCATGTACATGTGCAGCATGCCATGAATTTTGATTTTTCCATTTCGAAGATCTGGAAGTGAGTTCAAACACTCTTCTTCCAAGAACTGTACACAGAGTGAGGCATGTGAATTATCAATCTAAAAGATGTGTGGATTGTCATCGGATGGCAGGTCAAATATTCCAGGGATGACGGCCTATGTCTTTGCATCTTAACCTTTGGAGGGCTGTGCCATCGACCTTGCTTCTGATGCCACAGTACCGGTAGATCTAGATACCATCTCACCTGAATCAATGCTCATTTCCGTTCCTGGCATTGTGTTCCACATCTTTTCTGCCTGCAGCTATGAACTGCTTGCAAGCCCTTTTGTGATGATTGGTCCCTTCGCTGCGTGAAATTCCTTTGGACATTTTATTTCTATCTCAGCTTTTCACTTATGGTACGTAAAAAAATTTTACGGGACCGAGATGCCAAAAAATACGGTATGGCGGAAGTTGAATGATTGTTTCTGACAGTGTCCAGTGTGTCCAGCCAAAATTTCCCAACATCTTGCACAATTCACTCCTACCACAAATGTTACCTTACTGAATTCTGACGCCACATTTACCCTCCAAACTGTCCAAACCGCTCCAGCTCATGCTGTCTTTCTGTCTCTGCAAGCTGTTTGACATGGATTTAGATTACAGTCTTGCATGCCATCACATACAACATGCAGAGCATGTGGAATGGTTCCCTACTGCCAAATATGAAAACACATGAATTATGCAGCAAGATTAAAGGCACCATCTCAAGTCGCTTCACATTTACCTACATGTATGAGCACCATAAGCCAATTTGTGAGAAAGTTCTGAACTATTTCGTGGATCGTTTCTGTGCTTTACATGTTCAGTACGTGTATAAATGTCATTCCACTTAACATTCTTAGAAGAAAAAAAAATATCAGTTTAAAAATTAAAAAGGATGAGACATGTCAGGGCTGAACTTACGAAGTACCTAAAGGAGGAAAATTTCAGGAGTCAAGAAAGCCTACCCAACAAGTCACACCATTCAAATTGCGCACACGGTATTCTACAAATATGTACACGGTATATATTCATCAATAAACGAACTGTATAAGCACTGCCCTGACATCGTCCCCACTACTTTCAGAAATTTGGACACTCAGTTCATAAAAATATTCATCTTGTGTGGCAATTCACATGTAGGTTTCCTGGCTGCGCTCTGATGGACTGAACCCAACAAACTCAGTGCCGATGAGGATCGCCAAGTGACCATCAGAATGAATTATATGACCCTCGATCATTCCCCCTTGACTGAGTCTTGTAACCGCTTGACCTTTTAGCTGTGGAATATTAACTTCACTGCTGAGGATAAAAAAACAGGCCAGTTGTTATCAGAAGCTGTTTATGTTGTGAGCCAATCTGCTGCCCAACCTTGTACAAACTATCTACATGTGCTTTCTTGTACATGTACACTGAACATGTAGACCCCAATGTACCAGTGCAGTATGTACATCATACATGTACACATGTACATCATGTTGTGCACGCTGATGATTTGCATGACACTAACGCAACAATCAAAACAATTGACCACAGTGTAGGGTACATGCATCTGTACCACAAGACGGTTTTCATTAGACAACCAAGTACCTGTCTACTGTTGTGAGTTTTTCTCTGAAATTAAAACATGAACAGAGATAAGCATTACAGCTGAGTTAAAAAAAAAAAATGCAGGCAATCATTCAACATTGCAATCTTCATGGCGTCAAATCGTTGCACTGTTCTCTATTGAGCCTGGACGGATGGGTGAAACCATGGTGAAACCTTCACAGCCCAATTCTGTGAAACATTCCTTTCCATCTCACAGAAACAGCTGAACGTAGCGTGCATGCATGCCAATGCAAATGAGGGGGAAATGAGCCATGTTTTATTCAGGCTGTTTAAATGAGCTTGGACAGTAGAGTACATTGTAACATGGGTTGCTAGGGAAATGTTATGAGAGGACAGCTGGGCCTGTTCACCAGCTGCCTGATCTGCTGGTAGTCAACGGGGCTTTTTCTTTCGTTTTCAATTTCGTTAGTCATTTGTGTATTCTGAAGAGCAGTCCTTACAAAAACGCTGATGGGGAAAAAAATTTAGTTGTTCACAATTTGGTTTGGAGCAGTTCCACATTTTTAACGCAATAGCTCCATGTTATTTAGCTGTTTTACCTGGCCTGTTTAATTTGTGCTATTTTATAATTAGGGATTTTAAATGTACATGTGTCGAGGATAATCATATGATTTTAAATGTTGTAATATGATTCAGGATCAATTTTTTGTTTGTAAAGCCATTGTGGAATCTTTAATTCATAATATGCCATCAACAGTTAAAAGTGTAGGGTCCTTGCAGTGTTTTAAATCTTTACTAAAAATGCACCTTTTCAAGTCTTGAAAGTTTTAATCAGAATTCATGTATGTTCGTTTTCAGTTGTTTTGACATTGCTGGTATTTATTGCTAGTTCTAAGGTACATGTAAATGTCAAGGTATTGGACATTGCTTCAACTCTTTTAGCTGGCCTGCTTAATTTGTGCTATTCTATAATTAGGGATTTTAAATGCACATGTGTAGATTATAATCATATGATTTTAAGTGTTGTAATATGATTAACGATCAAGTTTTTGTTTGTAAAGCCATTGTGGGATCTTTAATTCATAATGCGCTATATAAATGCAGTTTTATTATTAATACAATGAAGTATGACCCCTGCAGCTTTGTCATAATGAGAGTCAACTGTGTATGGTTGTTGGCATTTGCAAGGATGTTGAAGCGGTTCCAACTGAAATGGAAATGTGGATAAACAAAAAAAGACATGAGAATTGAAGAAATAGGCAATCTGGAAATCCGTTCTTTATAACAGTATTTCGCTACAACAGAATTCTTTATAACCGAGTCCACTGTAATAGCAAACTGCACACATTCTGGTAAACAGTTGGACTCTTGTTTATTTGTGGCGTGCCTAAATCCCACATTAAACACAGTCAGTTTACCAGTGCAGTCAGCATCCTAACAGCTTCCAACAAACACTGGTGTCAGAGTCAAGCTGATTGGGAAGTGGACTGGGTTGAGATAATGTAGTTGACTGATCAAGCGAATCTGTCTCTGAGAAACGGCCAATTGGGACGCATGTTGGTCCCGGTATGGTTACATGTATCCTGAGCTTTAATACATTTGCCTGTATAGGAAATTAATACGTGTACACTGCATATGGTGGTTGTGTAATTGCTGGCCTGTACCGTGTACATGTACAATGCGCTTTGGCCAACCACATCTTTGACAGATTAAGCCAATGGAGTGAATGAACCCAGGACATGCACGAGTAGTAGGGTCCTTGAGCAGTGCAAAGCCCTCTCCAATGAGGTAATTCTGAGCAGGAGATGCACGGAAGGAACTGAGATTGCGTGAGGGGGAACGAGTTCCCGGTGATTTATAAATCATTTTTCCCTGTCAAAATGTCAACAAACGATCTGGTAGGAGAGACATAAACACAGCACAGCATTACAAGGATTCCGGTGGGTTTGGGGCAGAGAGTGCTCCCGCCGCCATTTCAACCATCCCCCCTGCCACTGCGGATTGTCATGTACCATGATGAATATTTATCACTGGGAAATTTCGACGGCAGGTGCAGTGGCGTGATGATGCATGGTGACAGGCCGCAAGACCAGCTAGGCCGTAAGAAAGGTTCCAAAGAATCCTGCAACACTTTATCATATCTGGATATGCAGGAACATGTAGCAGTTTTGCAGGGATTTGATTTGTGATGCATACTGTGGATTTGTGTCTCTCATCGGTGGATGAATTGCTAAACAGAGGACAGATTTTATCCAAGCCATGGGGTCACAAGCTTGTCAAGATTGGAAAATCAAGAAATGTATACATACTGCATATTTTTAGCAGATGGTGAAATACAAATATATTCCTTTCAATTGTCACCTTTGCTCATCCTGGAGACTTCTTACTCCAAAAAGCAATCCAAAAAAAAATACATATTTCAGATGA